ACTATCTCAGATCACGTGCATATACGCATATCGACGCGTGCAGCTGTAGATACGCACCATAAGCCCATAGCTCAGGACTCGCGCGAATGTTAGCGTTAGATTATATCGAATGCGGCAATCATAACGCTTAATAATTCAATTCGCAACGCGAATTGCGCCGATAATGCGTGGCAATTGTGTCTAACAATGGAAAAGATAAAACCACGGGATAAATGCACGCGCGAACATTAGACTGTTCAATCATGCTCGAGCAATTCGCACGGATGTGTCGACGACGCGCATTGAAAAGTTTTGACAATGGCAGATTCATGAGTGACTGCTATCGATTGCGGCAATACTCGATCGTGCCATTCAGTTCAGCACGTCGAGATTGTAAGATTCCCGTTTGTTCGTTAATTATTGTTGCACATTTTCGTGTTGATATTAATTAACCCCGGCTGGAGAATCGAATACAAAAAGCGTGTAATTTGTCCGACGGTCGGTCTCATTTTCAGACTGCAATCCCGATAGTCGTAACGCGTACGTGAAACGACGCGCGCTATAATGGCGTGTGAATATTTTATAACATAAAATTATGCGTTAAAATGTCAAGTTTTAATTCGCCCACCAGATAGCTGCTCGGAAGTTATTCACCATGTCGATTTCCCCCGGAATTCCCTCTATCTCTCTCTCTTTATCTCTCTATCTCTATCTCTCTCAATTGACCTCAAGAAAGCGGATACCGCTATGCATGATGATATTGTGCGACCAGAAAGACGATCCCAGCATGCGATTCCCTTCGGGATTGATGCATACAAGGAATCAGTGTGCGGTCGTGCAATCGAGGAGCAAGCGCACAATATCCATTCCGCCTATCAAATCCGTGCCACGTGGCCATTTTCGAATAATATATGAGAGAAGAAGGAAGAAAAGACACACGGAAGAGACCGACTCTCATGACGCTCATGAAGTGAAAATTTCATCAACGCTCTCAGCGTGCAACCTCGCGCGCTGTCTTGGTGGGAGTTTGCGTTACAAAACGGCTTCCTTCCTGTTTTCGCAAACAGCTCGAAAACCGCGCTCAAGATCTGCCGCGAAGGCGTAACACAACGTTAATGCCTTCTCGAAAAATACTGACACGCGTATGATTCGTTTCGAAGAGATTCGTCATAAAACGCAAATGCAGTCGTAAACTGCCGAAGTGAAGTATCGCGAGTTACAGTTGCTCACGCGAGAGAAGCGCGATCATAATTTTATAAGTATATAAAGATATCCGTCGCGTACGCGCGTATTTGATGTTCTTCTCGCTGCACTTCTGGCTCCTCAATCTTCTTCCAAGCAAATTTCAAAATTTATGAAAAAACATTTCAAAATATTGTATGAAAGTAGGTTTTTCTTAACTTCGGGGATCACTGGAATACAAAAATATTGCTTCCAGAATTTTATTCTTTATACTTTGCAGCGCAGAAAGCAGCTGTCAGACTTAAAAGATGCTAAGAAAAATGTCTCATTAATCAATAGTCTAACATGCTGGTTTTATACACTTCAAGTATAAGGATAGTCGGGTTATAGAATTGGGAAGAGTGTTCGGCCGAATGGACTGCAGAACTGTCGCGACTATTCACGTCTGTTTCAAGTGGTACGATGTAACGCGTTAATTACGCATAACGTCGTATTACCGTAGTCTCAACCGGTTTATAATTAATGCAGCGGCGGCCTCTTCGTTGAGCTAATTACATGGGCATAAACTTTCATGTGGCGCGAGACGAGGACGCCGTTAAAAGTTTGGCCGATGTGCCCGCGTTATGTGCGCGGGGAAGTCGCGAAAATGGGAAGAAGTTCGAAATGACTTCGAGACAATTCGGAGTACAGGGATCTCGCTTATAAGAACGCGAGTACCTATTTGCATGCCCCGTCGGTAACTCTTCGAATTATATATCATCTTCCATCTTGCTCGCACGTCATTAATAATATGGATCCCATTAACGGGCAGCGCGCATTTAACTAAAACTGCGACGAGCAACGGAAACGAATTTTATATACGTACTATCACGGTCTGCGATTCTGTATTATAAAGCGAGAGCAAAACAACGAATTTTATGTTTCATGTTTGTAAGGCTGACTCGAAACTCGAGACTCGAAAACAATGGAGTGAAATAACGATAGTTCGAAATACATAGAATATATCGTTAAGGTGCGCCGAGACAATTTACATAAACTGATTATCTCGCCGGCAGACAGATAGCAGCTTACGGTTGTCTTTAAGTAGTTCAAGTCAATCACTCTTCGTACTCGTCCGACACCGGGCGACTGAGAATAAACAGCTGGAACAGCAAGCTCATGGATCTCGCATTAGAGAGCAGCTGAAGCGGCCGTCTTATTAACATTATTGATCGCGAGACAAGAAACAAGTCTTTGTTACTGTTAATGAAGCTGCCGCTCCCGTTGCTTTCCACGGGGTATCCGTTGGGATAAAGCAAACAGTTTTCCGCTCTCGTTACCACGCGGAAAATGTTTCGCCGATCTGAAGTATCTAACAGCGCGACTATATTGCGCATTAATGAATTATTAATCTTTTTAAACTTGCCACCGCGCGTAACCATTATTTAACGCAGTTTATATCTCGTTCAAGATGATGCGCGAGTTCCGCCTGATATTAGACGCGCAGATATTAGACGTCTTCTCGCCCCGCTCACCTTTTACATTTTCCTTCCTTCCCGTCGAAATAATAAATTTCATATTTATTATATCGCGTGCGATATAATAAATATCAGGGAGAATAATCGCCGCGACGTGGAAAGTTCGCTGAATGAGGATACCAAAAATATCGGTCGTGACGGAAATTCCTTGGACGGCACGTTCGCGAGCCCGGCTCGCCCGAGAATATTTTGCATGTTTGATCACAGAAGAACACATTAGGCTCGTCGATCGATACATGGCCATTATACGTGTAGGAATTTTAATCCAATGGAACGTAGCGCCTCGCTAATGGCGAGTACTCGCAAGACGCGGTTTCGCGCGCGAAATTCCGCGATAATAACGACACGCCACGGTCTAAAGCACGGTCGCCTGGAATATAATAAAAATACAATGATACTCGCGACTATAGTAAATCGATAATATCATTGAAACAAACGCGTTTCATTAACGCGCGCCTTTTTCCTCGCTAAGTCGAGAAAACGATCTCCGGTTCATCTTTAAAAATCCTGCTCCGGGATACACTCGTGCGCGACAGCGTGCAGCGGCCACGCAATTCACATCTCACTGTATGAAACAACTTGTTTCGCTCAACCACCAGCGCACCTCCACTTAGAAAGATTGAATTCCAAGTACTCGCAAACCAACGAGCGAAATGTTCCGCTACACTGTTTGCTCCTGCGCGACCCGCGCGCTTCGCCCGAGAGACTGCTAAGTTCAGCAACGATTTATAGATCGCGATACATCACGGCGAATGTAACGGTGCACTTACGCTGTGTGTGTTTTTTTATGACGACCGATACCGGCAAACGTTACGCGTTGTGATGCGCCGCGCCGCGCCGGGCTGCTATCTCTGCAAACACAGGTGCAAGATACTAAGAGGCAAGCGCGCGCAAAATGTTTTCGTCCTATTTAGTGTGGCTCTCGTGTAAAATATTAAGTTACTTTGTCCTGCGGAAGAGAAAACTTACGTGGCGGAGAGCTCGCTCGCTCGCTCACATAAGTTGCGTTATTAGCGACGATTACATTAGTTAACGAGTATAAAAACAAGAATGCTGAACTTGAAAGGAATCAGAATAAGATAAATTTCTTTCCATACAGCGCACGAACGGAGACACATTAAAGGGGAACTATTGTGTCAACGTCGGTATTTACCGGCTTCACTGCGAAGTGTTGCTTGACTTGAGTCGCCACAGCGATATCAAGTTCACGACTGTTTCAAAGGCCCGCAACTATCAGTTTGTACCGAATGCTGTCTCACTGCGTCTGTACATCGGTGATTAGGTCCTTTAAGCTCCGTGGCTGTGTATCGATCGGAAATTGTGCCGCACGAAGAAACATTAAGTCAAAGCGTACTTGTCTACCGGAATTACCGCGAAACGCGTTCCGTAAACCGCGGTGACTGCGGCAACTCGACAAAATTATCTATAAGGATTATCACAAGACAATGGCGAACACCGACGAAAGCCCCAGTCCGATAATTCTTCTTTGTACGATATAAATCGCAGCGGTTTGCATCGACACATAGCGTCTGCGCGAGAACCAAAAGTCACAATAATAATAATATTTATAATTGCGTTTTACGCGCGATATTACCGCGCGCTTCTGACAATTGTAAAAGCGCCGTTCCATAAATGATTATGAAATATACAAATAAATTGCAAATTATGTATCCTCTCAACGCGCGACTCGTTAAATAAATAGGCAATTTGCTTTAATTCGCGCAGACATGCGCACAAAATTTGTTTACGCGCACACACGAGCACGCCCAATGAGCACGGAGGTTCGCGCGATAACCGTCATCGTGCTGATAGAGTAGCGCTACCGCAAAATTACGAGGAAAATATCTCACCGCTATCTACGGAATTTCCTTTGGGAGAATTAGGATGAGCTAAGTGTGCCGCATAGTGGCGGCACATGGGAAAGGGAACAAGCGAAAGCCAACAAGGTCTTCATAAAACAGTGCGAAGTGCTTTGCTTTTAGGAGATAACGCGACATCGCACACATTTGAAATTTTGCTTATTTTCGCGTTTTTTTATATGCGGCGTGGGGATGTTTGCAAATTAAATATTAGAACATCTCTCTTAATTTTCAAAAACCATGATGCAAAGACCATGGAAAATGATGAAGAGATTTGTGTGAGAAGAAGAAATCCCGGAATATTAACTACAAAGATTTATCTCCTTCTATCTATATCTCCATCTCTCTCTCTCATTCCCTTGATGAGTGTACGTAGGTCACGCGAGTTGCACGAAGTCAAATTTGTTGGCAAATCCGTGCATTACTTGGAATATGCTCGAAGATGGAAACGTGTAGCACTCACCTTGAAAGTATTTTGTAGATTCTGCACCCTGCAGTGCATGTAGACTTGAGCACCAAGCTGTACGGTAATGTTGCTCTCCGGATCCTCGAAAAATGGCTTCGGTTCAGGAGTGCCACTTGTTTCAGTCACGAAACTTTCCACCTCGTAAACCTACGATCAAAATCGAAAGTCGTTTGACGCTTTTGGCTACTCGACGCGTATTCAATGCGCTCGTAATGTAATCTGAGAAATCCCGCTTTTGAAATGACGCAAAGTATTTATAACTACCGTTAATCCTAAATATATTTATGCGTGTATACATATGTATATATTATGTATATATATATATATATATATACATATAACCTTTCATGCAAAATGCAGTGAACGGTGAATATGAAACACTCAAACGGCGAACGCAAAAGGTTATTCGAATTGCAAATTCCGGTAATATGCATGAACTTTGCATTCACGATAAATACACGTTTCGTGGTGAGAATCGTTCAACAAATGTAATAAATGTTGGCGTGAAATTTTTCCAAGAAATATCACACCGATTGTATCGTTTTATAAGTAGGTCCGTTACTTCAAAAGATTAATTTCGAAAATCTCTGCAAAATAGAATCAATCGCGTTGTAAATTACATTCGCGGCTCTTCCAAATTTATAATGTCCCAAAAATCGGAATTTCATGTCGATCTCTAAATAAGCTGCTTATAATATATTCGTTCACTCATCCATATGCTATTGAAAACAGAATAATACGTTATGTCCAGTTTTCCATATTACATATAGTCTAATTTAATTCCGTGAAAAAATCGTACTGTACGCGACTAACCTCTGTGAAAGGTGAACTAAGTTCATGCCAAAATGAGCGCGGCAGATTTTCGAATCCTGGAAATGGTTTCGCACCTGTAACACAATTTAATGAACATTTTAAGTATTTACACCTAGATAATAACAAATACATGTTACACTGTCCATATCGCGGTAAACGAAATAAATCATGAAGTCATTATTGTTCCTCTGATTTTCAAAATCTGTGATAACCAATTGGTCCTCAAAATTTTGCTCAACACGCGAGAAACAGATTCAACATAGAGATGCAAAAAATTATGGTAGATATTCTCAAGGATATAGAGAAATGAAGTCTCCATAAGATTTCATTCTATATAAGCTAAAGACTACGTCTACATAAACTGAAGGCTTCATTGTATTAAGCATACTGTAGAAAAAAAGAGAAAGAAAAGAAGAAGATAATACGGCTCGTATATAAGACCGAAGAGGATTTCACTTTCCATCCCAATGTGCGACGGGGCGAAGCGAATCCCTTTACTTGCCGACACTTGAATGGTCTTATCAGCAAGAAGCACACGCGACTACGTAACTTCCTGAGACGGTACGCGCGCAAATATATTCACCTTGCCAAGTTCCACAACCAATGGCAAATTTCTCAATAAGCCCCCGCGATTTCAGGTACGCGAAAAATTTAATAATCTCTTTAAAGGAAAATACGAAGCGTGATATTAAGAGGTAAGACCGTAAGCGATTGCCTCATTTTCATCATTTCATCGTTCGCATTATGCTTTAATCTATTTCGCTCACTTTTATCAAGATACTTTAATTACGAGTGCTCCTATTCTTTTTTTATTTCGCGCCACCAGAAAGGAATTATTGATGCTTCGTAATTCTCTTTCAAAAATAATCGATAGTAAATTGGTCAAAGAGAAAACGTCCGCGCGATGCACGGTTAGCCTGCGCGAAGCCCTGTGTGAACATTTGTATCTAAACCCCCACGTAAAAATTTCAATATTAAAGCCATAGACCGCTGGCGCGGGGCTGACAGGATCGATTCGGCAAAATTGCCTTTTGCATGCATCGCGGCCGCGTCAGTGTGCGTTCACGCGTACACCGCGAAACGCGCGTCGGCTCCCCGTCGTAATTCCCGCGGCGACGAAATGAGCACGTTTCGCCGGCAAAATCTAACATAGATTCGCGCCGGCACGTCTATCTTCGCGTTTAGACACAAAAACATGGAATAACTCTCGACACGCGGCCAACGTACCGTCGGCTTGCTTTCATTGCGAGGTCTCGCTGGATAAATAATTTCGCGAAAATTCGAGGTAAACACGCACGAGCGAAAGCAAACCGTTACGAAACGTTTCGCGAACAATGCGCATTATACGCGTATACTCGCCTCTAAGCGGATTGGAACCTCTCTTCCGCAGAGCGGAAGAGGTGAAGAACGCAAAAAGACCTGAGCGAAGCAACGAGCGATGAGAGGCAGACAACTCGTTGAAGAGCCTCAAAGAGAGGAGGACCGATCTATCGACCGATTTATTTCGGAAAATGGCAATTTATCGGAGGTTGAATAATCCGCTCCGAGGCTTGATTGAGACGACACGAGACTGCACTGCGATGCCGCGCGAACTATGAGGGAATCGCGCAATAACGCGACGTGTTACGCGTCGCATTTCACAAACGCTGTTCGCTACAATTTCCACGACCGCGTGTCATCTCCTTCCATATCCTCGGTTCGCGCGATCGAAGGCAGAGGGTGGTCTTATAAGCATAGCTTTGCATAGCTTGGCACGGTGCACGCGCGCGCGGGTCGAACAGAAAGAGGTAATAAAGCCAGTTTCCAAGCGAGTCGTCGTTTTTTCGGAACGATACCGGAAAACCGTGCAATCTCGGCTCTTATAAAGCCCGCGCCGCTGAAGGAGACACAAACGGAGTGTTGAAAAATAAAGGAGACCGCGCGATGGAATCGCGAAGATACCGCGCGCGCGACGACGGCCATTGCAATATCTCTCTCCATCAAATTCGACGATTCAAACGGTCCTTGTCGTTCTACGCGACCGTTTCTCGACCGGGCGAGACGAGACGAAGTGAAGAGAGTGGCTCGACTCTACCTACTTGGCTCGCCAGTCAGAAGGGCTTTGCCGAGAGAGGACCTTCCACGATCGCGCCTGAGAATCCGAGAAATCCCGACGATGTGAAAGATGCGGCCCGAAAATTATTTTCTCAGCTGATCGTCCGCGCACTAAACCCACCAACCCTGTATTGCTCCCTTTCACCTTGCCTTGACGAATCGTCTCACTTTCCGCCTGTTTCTCTATCTTGGCTCCAAGGTCTCTACCTAACCATTTCTCGTGGAAGGATAGGATAATCCTCCAGAGATGTATCAGCCCTAGAAACGCTGGCGGAGAGAGAGAGAGAGAGAGAGAGAGAGAGAGAGAGAGAGACCACCCGTTACACCAATTTAACAAGTTGAATTCTCCCGCTGCAGAGACACCCCCGGAAAAGGAATGAGGCGGACGGCTTCTAATATCCGCGGGAAAGACGAAGCACATAATCTCCACGGGAGGGATAAATCCGGTTACCGGTCAGGATTCCGAAATACGCTTCGGATACGTCCGCGGATTACGGTCTCGACACGCGGCAAGAAGTGTAACGTACCCAACGCGAGAGGAAACGTAACGCCGACGGATGATTCGACACAATGTGCGCTGGAAAAAATTGCCGTGAAGAAAAGAACGGACTCGAAATGTGAGACTCGAGAGTCGCGCTTCTCATAATCAGATACGACTGAGATCTCTCCAAACCACGAATTCGTTCAATGCCACGATTGAAAATATGTAGTTTTGTGAAAAGGAAAGAAAGGGACACGTGAGAACTGGAAAAAGACACCGCACAATCGACAAATCCTCAAAGTCGTCTCGTTATAATATATATTTTCGCGTTACAAAGACATAGCGCGAATCCGACGCGCGCGCCGGAAGTGCCCTATATTATTCCCGTCAAAGGAAAACAGACTTTCGTGCCTCCGAAGAAGTATCGTGATCAATTGCGCGATTTTCCTCATCGTTCTTCCTCCCCTTCAATTTCAGCATTTCAACCGACGCTGTAAGAGCCACCTCGAATCTAAAAGTACGTCGTATCGACCGCGGTTTGTCGCTCGGCACAGCGTCAAATTTATGGAAGCCGTCCGTGCTCGTGAATTTATGAGAATCCAATGCCTTAATTGGAAAATTATAGGACAATGTCTGGCTGCCGACCGTTCGGCCCGTGGCTCGTTATTCAGCCGGCTATAATCTGGTTTTCCCTTCGAAAACTACGCCTGAATATTTTTCACCGACAACAAAGACTTTCTTCCCGTCGAGTGCGCCGGGAGAGCGAATATTGGCGTGCAAAACTACCGAACGTAAATATATCGAGTCCGCTTCCCCCGATCGTTTCTACGATCCCTACTTTCATTCAGTCATTCATTCTCCTCAATTGCGCGTATCATTGCTTCTGCCGTACTGTCTTCTCATTTATTCGAAATAACGACTTGTCTCCCCCTTTTAGTATATTTCATCTGAATATAATATCAAACTCCCTTTATTACTCACCCAAAGTGCTGGCGGTGCACAGGAAGTGTATCTGGTGAACCAAAATGGAGGCCACCACGGCCGAAAGACGACTCAACATCGTAGTCGATCCTCAACTCATCTCTGTTTCCAAAGTTGGTACACAGCAGCAGCACCGTTGTCTATCTGCAAACACAAGAAACGAGTGCTCGTTCAGGATGCAGTTTCCATCAGCAAAAGAGTCCTCGTCGCGTTTCTCAATAAGAACAACGGTGGACAATTAACGCGAATCGCAAACTCGTATTAGCTGAATTAATCGTCGTCCGTGTCGGTATTATGGGCGTAAAAACGGCCGAGCGCATAAAACGGTGATCAATCAACGAGTATGTGGTAATTAGCAAGGCACAGAGCGAGACCGTCAAGGATCATTAAATAGCGGCTAGTGCCTGTACGTCAAACGGGGCCTGCCAAACCGAACGACTCCCTCCGGACTTGAGGCGAACTTCCTGTTTTCTACCTCTGTTCTACTCGAGTTCGCGGTACACAGAGTGTCCATCCCTCGCTAATGAGATCAGTGCGGTATATCCTCAAGGTATGGGGCCAGAAAATCGCGTCTCTTCGAAACGACGATACTGCGATACGACACCTCGAGTGGACTCGTACGAGCTCTCGCAGATGCTCGGCAATATCACGGTGCAAAGGCGAATGGAATAGAACGACGTTTCTCTATCGCGAGTCTCGCAAATATACGAAGGTAGCAATTGCGGATTCAAAGAAAAAGAAACGGCGTGACGTCATTTCAAATAGAGAACACATCCCGCAAAATCCGATACAGAGATCCTACATTAATTTAATCAAAATATGCGCCGTAAGCTATGAATAATACATTTACATATTATTATTTGCGCGGCATAAATTGTAGGAGTTGTTTACGCTCCCCTGCTAATTCATAACATTTCGCTTCCGCGAAGGTAACATCTGGAGCGACGCGATGGTGTCTGCGTCCCGTCATTGCATTACGTACATCGCACATTAACGTGGCACGTCGAAATATCACGTTGTATCTTTATGCCTCTTATCGCGCGTGAATATCCCGCGTTTGCACACGGGTGCTGTGCATCTCGGTGCACACGGCTGAGCTTCAATTACTCTCTCTGCCTCTCTTTCCCTCCCGCTCTTTCTCTCTATTTCTCCCTCCCTCTCTCTCTCTCTCTCTCTCTCTCTCTCTCTCTCTCTCTCTCTCTCTCTCTCTCTCTCTCTCTCTCTCTCTCTCTCTCTCTCTCTCTCTCTCTCTCTCTCTCTCTCTCTCTCTCTCTCTCTCTCTCTCTCTCTCTCTCTCTCTCTCTCTCTCTCTCTCTCTCTCTCTCTCTCTCTCTCTCTCTCTCTCTCTCTCTCGAAACCGTAGCAATAACCCGCTCGCGAAAATTTACTTACAAGAAGTTCACACCCCTTTCGGCATCGGTACATCGGTACTCTCCACGTCGCTATCTTCCTATTGAGTATACGTTGCGATCGAGTTATGCTGAAGAAGCTCAAACCCGTTCGACGAGGAGAACGAGAGATCGCTAGACCTTAGAAGACTGGCGAGGGCCGCGCGGATCCCGAGCACGAGGTAAATCAACCGGTCGCTCCAAGTCAAACAGAAGATTGTTACCACGAAATTCCACGTGATTCAATTTGGTCGGAAGTTCGGGGGAAAACATGGTACGCGCCTCGGTAGTCAGCTCGCTGCCCCGGGAGAGAGAGAGAGAGAGAGAGGAAAGAGAGAGGCCAGGTTTGCTCTAACGAATCTATCGACAAGTTCGGAGTTTCTCCAGACGCCGCGGCAGCTCTTTCACCGGCTGTCACCTTCCACATAGCGCGTTCCCCCCAACTTTTCCTACTCCTTGCTACTCCCTTTCCTCCCTTCCTCCTTTCCGATCAGTCTCGCGTGCCGGCAAAGGACAAGCTTTGTGCCCTTACGATTCGCCAGCTTCGACCCGCAGAACTAAGAAGGGACAAGCAATTTTCAGTTTTACCAGCCGGTAACACCGAAGAACCGTCGTCGTTTATTCGCACAAGTTCCAAATTATTTCACCATCTGGCGCAGGTGCCGGCGCCGGTAACGAGTTGCGGCGCCGTGCCGACGGTACGAATAAAAGTCTTCCTTGTATCTAACTGCTCGTCGTTGTTTGAACTAGACAAACCGAGTGCGAATCGATGGAACAACGCGAGTCGGAGAGGCAGCCGCGCGCGCGCCGATTCGGTGGCCGGAAAAACGAAGGTAAACGCGCTGTCGCGCGCATCGCTGAAAACTAGAATAGACGCATCGACAAATAGCCCGTCGAGAAATACTTTCCGATCCCGTCTATTTCTCTAAATAAAAATATTATTTTTACCGTGCGCTTATTTTTCACGTTGTAAATACAACTGCAACGTAACGGCCACGAGGAAGAAAAAGAACGAGCTGGCTGGCGACGAGTTAACGAGCTAGCAAACGAGAAATCGCGAGTTTTCCCGCGTCAACAGCCGATCAAAATGCTTCTTTCAAATCGATCCATCGATCGATTCGAGATCTATCCATGTATATCCGCCTGCTCGGGCGATTCTTGTTCGCATAGCAGTAAACAAATCCTCACCTGGCCGCCAGGTTTGCGCAAGTAGCGTGGTGTGACGCATACTTTATGGTTGTGTCGAACATGCCCCCGGTACGGTGTAACGTACTTGTTACGCGCGCTTGTTACCGGTAACTAATGTTCTATCCGCCCATTCGATAGCGCGATCGCCCAATCGGCAGCGGAAGACTGCTGGACCAGAAAGAGATCGAGCGATTGAGCAAATTACGACACGTAGATTGCGAGTGGCGGAGGGTGCGGGTGGCTAGGAGCGATCAGTATACTGTCGCGGCATCGCTAGCAAAATGAACGAGGCAGCGGGATAAAATTTTCTCGTTTTGTGGCCGGCATGGGCGAATGCCCGAACGAGACGATCAGCCATTCGGTCAAACTCACCGGGCCACCCAACACATCGTAAACACATCGAGATCTTTTGACGTATATTCGCGAGCTTTTAACGTTTAATTTTCGCTAATTTCGTCTCTCTCTATCTTCCTCCCTTTTACTACTTCTCTCTCTCTCTTTCTCTCTCTTTCTCTTTCTCTGCTTTTGCATTAAAAATATAAACCAACGAAAATTTTGATTTCTCGTTTTGAGACAGCAAAAAGTTCCCTACGTGTTATCTGTATATGTAAAATAGAATGTTTGTCTATATATGTTCCCTAATAAATTCTTAAACCAATCCAAATCTAATCCAAATTTTGCATGGTTAGAACCTCTCTAGAATCATGCGAAAAATATAGACTACCATGAAACTTGTGAGCATCTCACATCTTCCCTATGATTTCATCTCCTTGACACTTTGTGATAATCCGGGCAACTCTGGTAATTTAAACTAGTAACAGATAAAAATCAACGGACACGCTTACATTTTATTTTAGTCGTAACTTAGTAGTAATCCCTGTAATAACCTATTTTTGCGTTGATTAGATGGAACGTGCGTAACTTTACGAGCGTTGCTATTTAATTTCGTTAAGAGAGCACAGGTTTCGGAAGTTTATTAAAGGGCGCGCAAGTAATCAATCGATCGAGAGAATTACCTGATAACATCGACGTTATGAAGCAAGTTAGTAAACAAGTTGAAACGTTCCCTTAGATCATCCTGAACTAACTGCAGCCAACTTCCAAATTTCCTGCACTTAACCCTTTAATATAATTTGCAGCGCGTACGCCGCAAATGTTTGAAAACGGTACATATTAAATGACGGTTAATTTCAAGAGACGCAGTAACGTCTTGCGCCAAGTGAACGTGCGAAGCGAGAAATGAGCGTGAGACCGGCCGCGTATATTTATACGACGCCTCTAGTTAATCGGATGCAAGATTTCTCATTTTACTATAACGGCTGAACCGATTGAGTTCTAAGTGATCTCAATCGATTCCTTAGAATTCGATTACTTGAGAAAACTGTCCTTATTTTTGCGCTACATGCTTTATTAGAGAATATATCTTGACAGAAAGTCCGAAATCGCCCAATTTTCATCAATGAAATTTTGTCGTTGACTAATTTTAGGATATTTTTACGTCTTATATCACGAAATGGCGCGAAGTCATTCGTACATTCTATCAAATCTGATCTAACAGCTGTCAGATCAGATCAAGAGACGCGATAGCGTCTCGCGCGAAAAGAAGAACAGGCATGAGAGGTCGGTTGTAAATAACACAAGATTATATTATAAATTATTTAAAAAAGAAGTAAAAATGTTAGCTAGTTCATATAACTGTATAAAAGCTAAAATATATAAAGCGTTTCTATAAAATATTTTACTTATAAAATCTAAAAATGTTAATAAAAAATATTGTTGACGAAAACTTCTATTTTTTTCACAAAATGTGTGATATCAGGTAATTAGACCAAGTAAAAATAATTTACGTGCTGTACGAATATTCCTACATAAAATATTTACATACAGATTTATAAAATATAAATCATTAAAATACTAAAATCATTAAAATACTTTCAGAAACCGATTTGTGAAAACTTAAAAATTATTTCAAGATCCCAGTGCAGGATAGATCCCAGTGTACATGCACGAAAAAGTACCTTTGCTACCAACGTTACACTGGATCCAACCTTCGGAGAGCGACTTTTGAAAGTTGGGTAATTAGTTTAAAGATTCTGGGAAAGTTACTGACGGTATAAAGGAACATTCACTTAAATTTATGGTAGACACGCGCGCAAGCACATCACGAGAAAATAAAACAACGCAATAAAAACAAGTCGAACAAAAATTCACCATGTCCGATCGCGTATCTCAATGACCTCTGCTGCCTTTTCGCTTATTCTCCGCCATACGTGAGGCGATCGATTTTGGCAATACGATGTCCGCAATCGCAACTTCAGCCAATGTTTGCTCAATAAACCTCGCGAAAGCCGACGAACCAACTAACCCGTTAGCCCGTTGGCTCTCGATCTGGAAGTTATTAATCGTGCCGATTGTAGACGATCGGTACAATCCGACAAGGCTGAACGTGGATTTAGCAATTAGTCTGCATTTTCGTATAGCAAAAATATTATGCATTACTGAAATGCATTACTGTCGTCGAATCGATACGTTCTCAAACTGGGTTACGCTGACTGTGGAATTATTTTA